GGGATGAAACCATATTTTCCCTTTTTTTATATTATTAATTATTATTTAGATGAATATTACAATTTGTAGATATTTTCCTAGACTTCTGTTGGTCTTTGTTTGGATTGTAATTATCAAGATATTTTTTTTATTTTTTTTATTTTTTTTTGTGGTAAATGAATAGCCGGTCCATTATCTCCGGTCTTACTCACACTTAGCATTAACTTAATTATGCACCATTAGTATAGACTAAACCCAATTAGTTTGCTCTAGGAGTAGTTATCACTCTTAATTTGAATAAAATTAAGTAAATGGTACATATAAAATAAAATATTCTAATTATATATTATCTTTAAAAACAAAATTCAATCGCCACGTATACAATCAGATTTTCTGACACCATCCCTAGTTGTTTAGTTATATGAATAAATAATTAAATAATATAAAATGTAGCTTGTTCAAACAAGTAACTTTCTTGATATAGTAATTAAACAATAAAACTTCATGATTAGGTAATTTATAGAATAAAATATTAAGATAATCATCAATAATTGATGTCATTATCCATGTCGGCGCCGTAGGACCAATTAATTATGTGTATCCACGAATTATAGCTAATATGTGCATTTTTCTATTTCCCATTTTCACTAATTAGAAATTTGACATATAGTACATTTTAATTTAATTTTACTTATGATAGAGTTGACTACTAGCTATCCAATTTTTTTAAGTTCTACTATATTTTCACCCAAATAATATAATGTACTAAAGTTGCAATTTATAATTAATGCATTCTTCTTATTTTCTGTTGTTTACAGGCAATTTGCACTAGAATGATATTTACAATATTTTTTAAAAATATATAGGATAAATAGCACTTAATTTCATATGGTTACACGTTGCTCGTAATATCAGCACATTATCTCTTCTGGTTTATCGTCCATTAATTTTTCGGGTCAAATTTAACCGTGCATGTCAAACTTCAAATGGTGGAAAATGTAACTACAAAGGGATGATCTTCGAAAAATATAGTATTTGACGTCTGACCCGCACAACTAATTTTGACGGGAAACTATCTATCAACTAAGGAAATTAGGTGGTAAACGGGGTCATCTGCAAAAGTTTGTAACTAATGGGGTCAAATGGTAATTACCCAAATATTTAAGACCAAAAGGGAGAAATAGAAAAATAAAATGAAAATGGAAGGCATTATTTAATTAATAATTATTTCATATATATATATTCTCTCTCCTTGGAGAATATATAGATACAGAGTACAGACTAAGCCCTGTGTGTTTTATTTCTGTAACCGATTTGCAGAAATTCAACCATGGCAGCACACCTCCCTCTTCCAGTAAACGAGCTGGAATCGGGCCCCACCGATTCGGTCGCGTCAACTCCACGCTCCGACCACCACGGCCACGACGACGCCGCCCTGCAGCCGCCGCGTGTCCGCTTCATGTGCAGCTTCGGCGGCAAGATCCTCCCCCGGCCCCACGACAACCAGCTCCGCTACGTCGGCGGCGACACACGCATCGTCGCCGTCCACCGCCACACCACGTTCTCCGGCCTCCTCTCGAAGCTGTCGAAGCTGTACGGCACCGCCAGCGTCTGCATAAAGTACCAGCTCCCGAACGAAGACCTCGACGCGCTCATCACCGTCACCGCCGACGAGGACGTCGAGAACATGATGGAGGAGTACGATCGGCTCAGCCACGCCCCGAAATCGGCTCGGCTCCGCCTCTTCCTCTTCCCAATCGACGAAAACAACAACAACACTAACGACTCATCACGGCCGTCAAGTATCATCAGCTCACTCCTCGACGGCTCCGTCAAGCGCGAGAACTGGTTCGTCGACGCACTTAACGGCGGACAAACGGCCGGTCCGATCCTCGAGCGCGGCCGGTCCGAGGTGTCGTCGATTGTTTCGGAAGTGCCGGATTATTTATTCGGGCTGGATAACTCCGACGACCCCCTAAAAGAAGCCGCAACCAAGATGCAGAAGAACAACAAAACCAACCTAAACGACAGCGTTTCGATGTCGGATCCGGGTTCGCCCGCCGCGGTTGCTTCTTCGCCCTTCTGCTCCACGTCATCAACTCTGGGCCCACCCGGTCTGCAACAATCCCGGATCTTCCGCCGGTTAAAACCAAACCCGTGAACACGGTTCAGTTTGTGGACCATAATAATAATAATAATAATAAAGAGAGCGAAATGGTGTCCCAGCAAACCGGGTATCCGGGTGGACCGGTTTGGCATTACCCGAATCCAGCTGTGCAATCCATGCCTGCAGTGTACTACATGCCAGCTGGCAGCCACGTGCAACCCGGGAATGCGTCTGTCCAACCGGTTCAGTACCGGACACAGTTTGTCCAGCCGTACCCGCTTGGACCGGGTCAAGTACCCATGGGTTACCCGGGTGTGAATCAAGTGTACGGAGCGGGTGTGCGGGTCCCATATGAAATGCCCACCCGAATTATCACTGACAATAACCAGACAATGTACTATGGGACGAGAAATATGGGCGTTGTTCCGGGTTCTTATCCGGGTATGGTTGTTTCTGGAGGGGAAGAGATGCAGGGAACCGGGTCGGATGTGATGTCGGGTCGGGTCTCGCAAGGATCTTGATCATGTAGTTAATTGGATCACTCTTTATCGACGTATATAATTGTGGGTATAAAATTATGTATTGTTTTATTTTGGATTGTGGTGATTTATGACTAGTTTTGTTATATAATAAAGTAATATAATATATTAAACTATTTATTTGCAAACTTCAATTGATTTATGTGGATGAAATTGTACGCAAAATAAAGTTTATGGATAGAAAAGCATTTTAGATATTCTTTATTTATGATGCATTATTGTGATGTTGAAATTGGGATTTTTTTAGGGTAAATAGCACATAACCCCCTTGTGGTTTGAGCATTTGGCACATAACCCCCTTGTGGTATCAATATAAGCACACAACCACCCTGTGGTTATCAAGGGGTAGCTAACGTTAGCTACACTAACAGAATAATGTAAATGTCAAATATACCCCTCTAAAGTTCATGTATTTACCTTGTGCCATTATTTGTTATTGCTGGGACTTCGGAATTCATTTACGTTCTTTCAATCCTCACTTTACCAGGAAACAAAAAGTCAAAGATTCCAATGTAATATTCAACTTAAACACTTTTTTTTTAAGTTTATTTCTGCTGAAAAAGTTTAGATTTTTCTTTCATTGATCTTCATCTTCGCTGATGTTGAATTATCTTTTGATGGATAAAGGAAAATAATTGCGATATCTACCGAGAAAATTAGACTGGGAAGAGATAAACTAAACCGGACCAAACTAAAATTTTTAGTTAACAATTTGGGGTGGGTTTTCATCTTTCTTTCACAAAGCCCTCTATTTTGCGTGAAATGGGTGGGAAACAGACGAGAAGAAATTGAAAAAGTTCACACATAAGAAAACATCACCACTCGTTTTTGGAGAGGTTGATTTGCACGTGCTGTTACTTTTCACAGAAAACTTAACGGGAGCAACCTATTGATAACCACAAGGTGGTCTTGTGCTTATATTAATACCACAAGGGGGTTATGTGCTATTTACCCTTTTTTTTAACTTAATTAATTAATTAATTTATAGGATTCATATGGACAATAATTTAGTTATTGATTTTTAAGATTAGATGGGCTGCTAAACAAAAGCCCATATCTGTTGGTCTGTGATTTCAGCAAAATTCTCACTCAACTCTCACAACCCCTTTTTATCAACGTTTCTTTAAACATGTATGAATATTTTAATATAGGGTTAAATTGCTAAAAAGTCTTTCTTACTTGGGTAATTAAAATCACTCTCCACAACTATAAATCTTCTTATATGTCATTCTTACGGTGTCAAATTTAGTGGAATTTTTCTAAATTATGTAGAATATTCTCCAGTTTGTACTCGTTTTATTCTGTTCGACCTCCACATTTTGAGACAAGATCATGATCAAAAGATGTGTCTTTTGGCTTGTAAATAATAGGTTGTGGTACGTCGGAACTTTATTTTTTGCTGAAAACGAGTACAAACTAGAAAACATTCTGTTGAATTTGACAATATAAAAGGTGGACGTAGGTGCAAGAAGATTCATAGTTGATGGGCGGTTGTAATTACCCAAACATGAGTTGGTTTTTTCGTAATTTGACCTTACCTCAGGGATTGACCGTAATTTACCTTTTAATATACTATAATATTTATTTTATTTATCATGGATAATAATTTAGTTGTATAGATATTAGATGGGCTGTTGGATAAAAAGCCCATACCCATCTAGCATAGCCCATTTGTTAAAAATAAATAAAAAAACAATTTAATATTTCAATTTGATTATATATCAATATAGTTGCAATAACTCTTTTATTCTGAAACAATAAATAGAAATAAATGACCAGTTCTTTTTATTAAATTAAAAAAAACAAAAAAAAAAAAAAAAGAAAAAAAAGCAAAAACCACTTGGAAAATTCCAGAAATCCATCACCAAACAGACCCTAGGAAAAAATAAGAAAAAACCAACACCTAGAGCTTCGTACATGTTGAAATGGCAGTATATACAACATAATATATACATACACACACCATCATATATACATACAGATACAGTGTGCCTTCTGCCTCTCTGAACACTTCTGCTTCACAAATTCCTCTGTTTCATTGCCCCCATTTCTCTCTCTCTCTCTCTCTCTTGTTTTCTGTTTTCACACAATTTTTTGCAACTAGAAAACGACAAAGAAAGAAGACCGGAAAAAAAGGGGGGTGGCACACGGTGTTCATGCGGCGGTGGTTCTGATGGCGGCGCCACCGATGAAATCGCAACCACTGCACAACTTCTCTCTGCCCACCCTCAGATGGGCCCACAAAAACTCCTCCTCCTCCTCCCCCGCCGCCGCGGCGGCAGCTGGCGGCGGCAGTTCTCGCTGCCACCGCCGCCGCGATTCCCCTGATCAACTCCACGAAACCGACTCCGACAACGAGACCCAACCCCCAAACCCCAACCAACGAACCCCCGACCCCGTTCCGGCGGCGGCGGACGAGGGTAACGGGGAGGCGAAGCCGTGGAACTTGCGGCCGAGGAAGGAGGCTCCGACCGTCAAGGCGGCGTCGAAATCGAGGAAGGAAGCCCGTGGTGAGTGTAACGAGAGCAAGATCAACAGCATCAACAATGGTGGGGTGAAGTCGCAGAGGATCAGAGGCATGGCGGCGGCGGTGGAAGGTGGGCAGCGGAACGGCGGAGGTGAGCGGAACGGGAGCAGCAGGAAGATTTGGATTTCTCTCTCTAAGGAAGAAATCGAAGAGGATATTTATGCTATGACCGGCGGCAAACCCTCCCGCCGCCCCAGAAAATGGCCGAGGAACGTTCAGAAACAACTTGATGTACAAATTCTCTCACTTACATTTTCTTTAATTAATTAATTTTTTTTGTTTTAATTTGTGTTGCAGAGAGATATGATTTTATTCTTGATTTTGGGTTTAATTAATTAATAATGTTTTTTTTTTGTCGATATTTTTTAGAATGTGTTTCCGGGATTATATCTGGTTGGAGTTGCACCCGATTCGTATCGGGTTTCAATGCTCTGGTATGTATGACCTTCCCTTCGTCGTTTTTTTTTTACGGTTTCGTGATGGAATCGAATGTTGTTTGTGCATGCATGCTTTAGAATTCTTGCATTAGTTTCGATTTCAGTCAAAAATTGAATACAGATTCGAGAATGTGTGTATACGGGCATCATTGTTTGATCCATGTGTGTGTGTGTGTGTGTGTGCGCGCGCTTATGGTTGCGTCCGTTCTTTGTCGATTTCGAAAGTTTTGTTGATGTAATTGAAAGTAGTCTGTGAGCGCATGCTTTAGAATTCTTGCATATTACGATTGTGTTAGTTCCAGTTTCAATTAGAAATCGAATCCCGATTCTAAACTGTACTATGTATACGGGGTTCTTGATTTGATCCAAGTGTGTGTGTGTGTGTGTGTGTGTGTGTGTTATGCTTATGATTGCATCAGTTCTTTGTCGATTTTCATATATGCCGTGTTAATTTATTGTTTGAAAATGTACGATGCAGAGGTGGATTCGGATTCGATTTGTTGACAATGGAGGTTGAAGAGAGGGGTTGAGGTATACTATGAATTATGCAAAGCAAGTATGACGATTCCGATTAAATAGACCGACGATGGCTGAATATAATAGTTTTAAATATTCCCTTTTTTTTAAGCTTAGTTTTAACTTTTATCGGTGATATCTTGAATATAGGAGTTTACAGAGGTGGTGCTCGTTTATCGGTGAAGCTTTTTTTTTTTTTTATGTAAGTTTTTTTTTTTTTTTGTGAATGAATGAATCGGAGTGAAAGCCTTTTGCTAGAATGCAAATACTTTGCTAGAATGCAAATACATATTACTGCACGTGGCAGAGCTTTCGGTAAATTTCCCGATATTGAATGCGATTGTCGTGTTATTCGAATAGCTCGTTTTTGCTCGTTTGATGAGAAATTCTGAACAGCGTTGCCAAATATGTGTTTGTGAGGTATATAATCGGCCCGTTTTTTCTTCGTTTACAGGGCGGAATGTGGACCATTTTTCAATAGTGAACAGGTTATGTGTTATTATAGTAATCAGTTTATGTTCTTCATTGCAACATAGGATTTTTAGAAATATATGATGTCCGATTTCCGCGGAAAAACAAGAAACGTGTTTTCTTTTGTCTGTGAAAGCCACGTTTCTGTGCATTTGTTACATTCAACCATTTTCGACAAACGAAGATACAGTAAATTTTTCGATTATCGACCAAAAAAAGGGTTAATTTCTAGAATATATGCAAAACTAGTGAATCAATTTACATATATACATTTGATACAATTATCATCTACAATATCGTACACATGGATCAATCCCATGATTAAAGAAAAAAGAAGCTTGTATTAAGACATTAGACAGAATCTGCAGCGACAGAAGTCGATAACTGAAAATTCTCGTTCGATGTTTTGTGCATTGTAATAACTTTAGGAGACTTTGTCGATACAACTAAAGGTGGAGTCAACTCGGAGACGCTTCCGATGCAAATAGTATCCCCTCTCCCATGCCAGATTCCATCTTGTACATTGTTCATCTCCAATGTTCGTGATTCCTGCGTAAGTTCAAGAAACTGAGTTTTGATTCCTTTTTTTTTTTTTTCGGGACGAAGTTTAAGAAAGACTTTGTTTGTTTGTCTTTACTATGATTTTGTGAAGTTCTGTAAATGGAAAAAAATGTCGAATTTTAGGTCATAAGTGGGAGAGAAAGACCTGACATAAGGTGCAGCATGGGCAAATTAGATGGTAAACACAGTCGTCGAACGAACTCTCGCTTCCCTGCAAGAGCATAACGAACACTCCTTGTTAAAGAATGAAATAAAAAATATAGGGTCGAAAATGTCGGTAAGAAAAGAGTCTTTTTTTAAAGCCGAATTACGACCTAAAACCTCAAATTTCATTTCGATCGTTCTTGAAAAACTTTTAGAAACAGATTCTGAGCATTAGTTGTTTGCAAAATCACTTTTTGATTTTGTTTCACTTAGAGGAAGCTGTTCTAAGCTATAATTTGAAAAAGCACTTTTCTGTTTACGTTGATTTTTGAGCGTACTGTATTTGCAAACACCCCAAACTTTTAGAAATAATCACTTAATACCAACTTAACTTACAAGAACTATAACTTCAGCTTTTAACTAAACTTTTGCAAACACGACCAAAAAGCGGAATCCTTACTTGTATTTTGAACTTTTTCCTAATCCTTGTTCGACAACACCCCATATAAATTCCGGTCAAGAAAACGAACGCAATCGCCATATACAAAAACCAGCGCCTCTCCGTGACGATGAACGCTACTACATTCGATATCGCAACCACCACAAGAATCAAGTATATCGATCCCTGCACAACACAATTCAATTCAATTCAACTATATATACATACATACATATATATAGTTTTATTTACTTAACTAGTTAACTAAAAATGGCATCCAAATTCCTCTCTTGTCAACTAAACAACAATGAACTAATCAAGAAAAGAAACGAGTATTTTTACCTGAATAAAACTCGAACCAAATCCAGCTCGTTTCATGTTCTTTCCGAATCTATAACACGGACAACTGCAATGTGCAATACAATACAGTAGAAACTCGATAAATTAATAACCTCGCTCCAATAATAGTTTTTCTGATCCCGACTCGGTAAAAATCTACTAAATTATTAGTTCGATAATTTAATATTTTGCTAAATTAATAGAATTTTGCTAGTCCCGATTGTATTAATTTAAAGAGGTTTAAATGTAAATGGTAATCTAATTACACACACACACAAAAAGCATTCATATAGATAGATACATTATAGATAGTAGCATACAATGAATGTCTTAAAGTTCAGAACCATGTCCGAAAACTCAATTAATTTTCAGACAAAATTAAAAAAAGATGTTCATATCTCTCTCTCTCTCTAAAAACAAAATTAATATTTAGAGAGAGAAGGAAGATATATACCAGGTGGAGTGAATGGCTAATCGGCGGTCGTCGAAGCAGTCATAAACAATCTCACCTTCCCACATTCTAAAAACTCCGCCGCCTTCAGGTACGAGGTTGTCTTCTTCCCTATCGCCGCCGCCCCCATTCAATTTGCCCCACCCACCTTTCTGCGCCTGCACCGCCACCATCGAGCACAGCATGTCGAAATCCAACACCCTCTCCCCCTCCATCAAGTACTGCTCCTCCTCTTCCGCCTTCGCCGCCACCGCCGCCGCCGCCGTTGCAACTCCTCCCTTTTCCACGGCGGCCATCGTTCAAAAAAAAAAAAAAAACTACGACGCCGTATAACCGAGCAACTTGATTAAAACGCAATTATTATGTAATTGCCTCGAGATTTTGAGAGAGGAGAGGTGGTTTAAGCTTTTTAAGGTATGATGAAAATGGAGTTTTGGGGGAAAATGGAGGAAGAAGAGAGAGAGAGAGAGAGAGAGAGGAGAGAGAGAGAGAAGGTATTGGTTGGCGTACAGCGGTGGGCCAGCGAGTATTGAGGGAGCCGATGTTTTGTTGATATAAGTCTGCACGTGAATTAAAGAAAGCCTTGTTTTTTTTTTTCTCTCTCTTCTTTTTTTTTTTTTTTTCAACCTTTTCAAAATTTTACTCTAACGGTCAAAAAAGTAAGATTTGTTTTTTTTTTTTTTTTAAATTATTTTGGAAATAATTTTAAGACAAGAATTAGTAAATTCATAATTTATAGTGTAATGTCTAAAAATGTTTGAAAATAAATTTTGAAGAAGAATTTTGGAAAATAAAGTAGTCTTTGTTTATATTTTAGTAAAACATTTATCCTGTTAAAATATACTTAGAGGACAGAGAAAATATTTGAACTTTTTTTATTGTTGGAATTCTTTTGAAAAGATTAACAAGTATAATTTAATTTTGGTAGAGGAATTATAAAAAGATCAACTAACATAGACAAAGTGATTTCCACAATCGTTCACTTCCTAAATAAGTGTTATTTTTCATTGCTCCTTCCGTTCCCTATTAAGTGTCGTTTTTAGCTTTGCACAATGATTAAGAAGCTTAATAAATGTGTCTTGATTTTAGGTAAAATATATTAGAAAGACTAAAATAACCTTAATTATTTAATGATGTGATAAGAGAGAGTTAATACTTATAGTTGAATTAATAAGATTAAAACAGGAAAAAATGCATTTAATGTTATATTGGAAATCTAAAGTGACAGATAATATGGAACAAAAATATTTTTAAGAAGAGACAGTTATTATGGAACAGATGGAGTATATCTTAATTTTAGAGAAATAATATTATTAGATCAAAATAACATTATTTACTAATAAATATAAGGAAAGTGTTGAAAATTTAATAATAGCAGAATTAAAAATATATAATTAATAGTATTTTATTGAAATTCTAAAATGGCAGCATAAAAAAATTCAATAATTGTTGTATTTTGTAATTAATGCTCCCAAAATTATAGTTGTCATAATAGATAGTATAATAATCATTAATCATTCTCTCGGTTGGTCAATTATGGAAGACACGTATATATATTAGGATAAGATAGAGCCGGCGTGTACGTATATCCATGTCAGTTCGAACAAACCCACGTGCTAAAAATGCTTTCTTGTAAAAAGACCAAAAAGGGCTCCTTTTATTTCTATGTATTTCTTACAAGGCCAAGACCTGTACCAGTTCCTAAATGTTTGAAATCTACTGCTTCAAGACAATCTCCATGACCCGCAAACCCGGTTCCACCCTTCGACAACCCGACCCGGTTCCTCTCCTTGCACGGCTTGTCGCATACGAGACAAACCCTATCAATAACAACGAACTTGTCTGCACACTTCTTGCAGAAAACGTGCCCGCAAGAACTCAACGCCACGAGTGAGGCTGTGTTCGTTAGTGTGACTTTGCAGCTAGGGCATATGTACGTCTTGTCGAGAGTATTCAATCTCTTTCGATCGGTATCGTACTCTGTGAAGTGGACCTTAAAAAGCGATTTTAATCGGAGCTTCTCGTTTCCTTCGGGACAAATTGTGTCGGTTGATGGGGATGGTTCGAGTCTTCTAGAAGCTTCCGGAGTTGCGGATGGCAGCCAGAACGACTTCATTGAACGGAGTGTTTCCGATTCGTACGAGGCTGTCTTCATACTGTGTGGGATTGCGCTGTGGTTTTGCTGATCGAATAAATCGAGATCTCGAGCTTTTTGCAGCATTAGAGTATTCTCTAGTTCTTGTTTTTGTCGATTCCGTTGAGAGGCGTGGGCAGCTAATTTTCTGCAGGTTAATTAACGTAATATTTTTGTTAGTACTACAATTAGAAACATAAAAGATGTTATAAAAACCAAACAATACGGCCAATCCACAGAGAGCACAGAATTCCCATCAACACTCGATTTAGATGCAACGTGAATACTGAGTTACAAGGGAATGAATAATCTGCTTAGGCCTCGTTTGGTTGCCAAGATAAAATTAGCCAACATAAGATTAAATAATCTAATGAAACCCAATTATATTATTGGACATTCGATGATCCAATTAAAAAACATGCGAGATAAACCATGATAGCATTAATATTTACGGGTCGACCCATAAAGTAATTGGGATACCAAACATCAAACAAAGTCCTATTATTTAGCTAAATAACCTAATCATGTCTAATCTCCCCAACCAAACGAGGCCTTAATACAATGGAGAGACAATCAAGATACGGAATGCAGAATCAAGATTTTAATACTTGCAAGCTAAGTTATGAACTCAAAATCGATGATCAGTAGATTATACAATGCCCATTCTAATTGCCACCACGAAATCGAAAAAAAAATCACAACTCTCGTCACGGATTTGCTAACCGAAACCTTAAAGAATACATACGACACGATACACACACAATATTCACCCACGTAAGTAGCTCACTCAATAGGTAAACTGATCAACAATTAGTACAAGACATGATTTTCCACTATTCATCAACTTAATTAAATCAAAACCAATCTGCCCTAAATTGCATAAAAACACGAGCTTTGAGCATAAAAACAAAAAAAAAATAAAAAAATTGAATCGACAACATAACTGAAGGGAATTGAATTAACGAGTAAATTACCTCTGAAAATCTTTCTTCTGCGATAAGAGGCATTCGAGAATGCACTCTTTACAGAAAACATGGCCCTTCAGACAGGACATAGGTTCGATAAAAGGCTTTAAACAGAGACAACACGCGTCGAACGGTTTGATTGAATCTTTGCCCAATCTCTCCCTCTGCGTGCCGTACCCTAGCTTCCGCTTCTCATCGTACGTGAAGAAACCTAAATCGTTGTTGTTCTTCGAATGTCTCTGCGGCATGATTTCGAATTCGATCAATTTAGGAAAAAGAAGATGAACTCAATTTGGGGATTTTGGGGATGAATTGCAGAAATTGGAAGGTGAAAAAAAAGCCCTAGAAATTAGAATCAATCGATGAATTTTGCTAATGGATTTGGGGTTTAAGTTTAGGCTTCCCTCCAGCTTTCCTTTTTATACTAGGATTAAACCTCTCTAAATTTAAAGAAATTATTAGGATAGATAAATTATTTATTAACTTATAAAAATTGAATTATTATTAAACAATTTAAATATCAAGTTGATTCAAAAAACTAAAAAATTAAACAATTTAAATAAATATAAAAAAGGGTAAATTACAGACAATCCCCTGAGGTATGATCAAATTACAAAAACACCCCTCTTGTTTGGATAATTACAACCACCCCCTCAACTCCTCAAATTTAGTGGAATCTTCGAGAGTATATGGAATATTATCACCTTTGTACCCGTTTTATCCCATTCAAACTCTACATTATGAAGCAAGATGATCATAATATGTGATTTTTAGCTTGTATATATCAGTTTTTGGTGCATCAGAAACTGTATTTTTACACAAAACGAGTACAAACTAGAGCACATTTCACGGAATCTAGATTATTATGTTGAATTTGACACCATAAGGGTGGAGGTGTAAGAAAAAATCATAGTTGAGGGGGTAGATGTAATTATCCAAACAAGAGGGGGATTTTTGTAATTTGATCATACCTCAGGGGGTGTTTGTAATTTACCCTATAAAAAAATATGATAAATTAATAATTGGGCTTATAGTAACAATTAGAACACATGCATTTGAACACGTAAAAAGCCCAATGGACTTGGGCTGTATATCATGGCTTGGTTTTTTTATATGAACTGAAAGACTTTACAATGAACAATATCGAACTAACGTCCATGATTTATCGTCCCTAAAATTTTGAATATTTCAAATATAGGGTAAATTACAATCCTCATGTATGGTCAAATTACGAAAAACTCCCTTATGTTTTGATAATTACAACTATCCTCCTCAACTATGAATCTTCTTACACGTCCACCTCTATGGTGTTAAATTATACATAATCTTCTAGATTCCGTGGAATGTTCTCTAGTTTGTACTCGTTTTGTTCAAAAATGCAGTATCTGATGCACAACAATCTAATATATATACAAGCCAAACAACACATGTTACGATCATCTTGCTTCAAAACGTGGAACTGGGAAGCAATAAAATGGTATAAAATTGAGAATATTCCATATATATAATCTAGAAGATTCCACTAAATTTGACACCACAATGATGGACGTATAAGCAGATTTATAGTTGACGAGTATAGTTATAATTACCCAAATATAAAGGGGGTTTTCCGTAATTTAACTGGTTGGTTGTAATTCATCCTTTAAATATATAATAATAAATTACTATTTATGCACATCTTCATGCATAACCGCTAGTCTTTCTTGGTAACTTTCAAAAGTCTCGTCACATTCTTATAATCCGAATTCATTTAATCATATCCACGAACTTTACAACTTTGTGCCATGGCTAATAATTGGCATAAAGTCAAGCCATTTTAATTGTATTATATATATAATGATTTCTATAAAGTATGGCCCATTTGGCCACACTAATAATTTATTTAAATTGTTTCATTTGTTGGACATCAATTATTAGTAAGTTACGAATTTCTTTAATATTTTGATGCTACCTAACTCCAATTGCTTTGATCATTTTTTTCCAGCATTGCAGTGTAGAAGTGGTTTTTCAAATGAACTTGACTTGGGGTGGGCGGCATCCGCAATTAGAGATGTAATTTTCGTAAGGGTATTTTCGTAATTTGACATATATATCTAAATTGATGACGAATTTTTCAATTTTGAGGACTAGTTGGTTGGGTATAGTTGAGTCCATACCGGCGGCTACCTAAAATGACTAATGAGTCTTTGTGATCCACAACTTTTCTCACCATGCTCTATTTCTTTTTCTTTTAAATAATTTATGGGGGTAAATTACGGACACGCCCTGAGGTAAGATTGAATTATAAAAAAACCCCTCATATTTAGGTAATATAACTACCCTCAATTATGAATCTTCTTACAGCGTCCATCATTGTGGTGTCAAATTTAGTGGAATCTTCTATATTATGTGGAATATTCTCTACTTTATATCCGTTTTACCCCATTCGACCTCTAAATTTTGAAACAAAATATCATAAAATGTGTCTCTAGGCTTGTAAAAATCAGATTGTGGCGCATCGAATGCTGCATTTTTGTACAAAACGAGTACAAACTAGAGAACATTTCACAGAATCTAGAAAATTTTGTTGTATTTGATACCATAAGGATTGACGTGTAAGAAGATTCATAGTTGAGGAGGGGTGGTTGCAATTACCCAAACATGAGAAGTTTTTTCATAACATTATTTCAGAGATGACCGTAATGGACCTTAGTTTATAATTAGGACCAAACTCATGTTTCTTCTTGGTTATTTTAATTTTTTTATTGAATTTTAGTTTATAACTATGCTCGAGTTTAAAAGAATAATTTTAGTTTTTTTTAGTTTTTTGTATGTTTTTTGTTTTTTTCCCTTAAAAAAAAAGAAAATAACAATTATTTTATTTTATTTTCAAATCTATATACATAACGTGCTTCCTTCTTTGTCCTAAAAATGGCAAAAAAAAAAAAGCCACATATAAAGACAAAAATAAATAAATAATAAATAAATAATAAATAATAAATAAATAAAATAAAATAGCCGCCTTGTTTTTGTGTAGGCCAGAGTGCAGCAACAATGGCTCCTAGCAGTTGTACTCTGCTATAATTCATTGCATTTCTGGCCAAAGATCGAATATCCTCCCTCCCACCACATAATCATGATTTTCAGAGCCAGCTGTAAATTTTCGCGCTTTTTTCTGCGATTCTCGATCTTCCTCGTACTCCTCTGCAAAGGATTCTGTCTGCAAACGGACACCATTAACGCCACTCTGATCCTCAGAGACTCCGACACGATCGCCTCCGCCGGCAATCAGTTCACTCTGGGCTTCTTCAGCCCCAACGGCACCACCGCGCGCTACGTCGGGATATGGTACTTCGTTTCTCCCGCCACCGTCGCCTGGGTCGCCAATCGCGAAACCCCACTCGCCGACACCCGCGGCTCCCTCTCGATTTCCGCCGCCGGAAACCTCGTGATCGTCGACGGCGACGGTCGAATCGTCTGGTCAACGAATGCCACGTCATCGCCGACGAATTCCACCGCCCAATTAATGGACTCCGGCAACTTCGTCCTCCGCGAAACCCCGACCGGAGCCACACTCTGGGAGAGCCACCGCCACCCCGCCGACTCGTTCCTGCCGACAATGAGGGTGAGCCACAACCCTAGAACAGGGGTTAGGGTTCCACTAAATTCATGGCGGTCGTTTCAGGATCCGGGTCGGGGCAATTTCACCTCGGGTCTCCACGCGGTCGGAATCCCCCAAATCTACATCTGGGAGAACGACATCCCACTGTGGCGGAGCGGCCCCTGGAACGGCCGGATTCTCACCGGAGTAACCGGAATGTACTCCGTCTACGTCGACGGATTCAGCGTCGCCACCGAAGAAGACGGCACCTACTACTTCACCCGAAACTTCCGTCAGAAATTCATTTCCCGAAACTTCCTCGACCCGAACGGCCGACTAATCGAAGCCGGCTGGGACGAAGCTTCGAACAGCTGGAACACTTCCTGGCTAGCTCCGGCCAACGACTGCGATCTTTACAACAAATGCGGCCCGTTTTCGTTTTGTTACGTCGAAAACAAACCGATTTGCAGCTGCTTGAAAGGGTACAAGCCGAAGAGCGAACAAGACTGGGGTAGGGGGGTGTGGGGTGGGGGGTGTGTGAGGTGGACCGATTTACAATGCGGTCGACAAAATAACGCTACCGATAAACATCGAGAAGACGGGTTTTCGAAGATGACTTTTATTAAGGTTCCCGATTTTATGCAGTGGTCTTCCGGTGTGGAAACAGAGTGCGCGAGTTTGTGCTTGAAGAATTGCTCTTGTTTGGCTTATGCTTACGACCCCGGAATCGGGTGTATGTTTTGGAAAGATGATATAATCGACGTTCAGAAATTCCCGGGTAATGCTGGCTCCGACTTCTACGTTCGTGTTGCCTATTCGGAGATTGGTAATTTTTTTTTTTCGATTGCATTATTCTTGAAATAAATTGAATTGAATTTGCCGTTTAATAGTTAAAGAATGTATTTATCTTTTGTTTCAGACAAGGAGAAGAGCAATAGAGTAGTTGTTATTACAGTTTCAGTTGTTGCTAGTTTCGCTGCTGCTTGCATTTGTCTGTTTTTCGCTTGGTGGATGTATAAACGAAAAGGTATTGTTATTAATTTTTTAATTTAATTTATTATTATTTCGATTATTTGCGATGAGAGAGATTGATTTTCTTGATTGAAAAATAGGTAAAAACAGGACGTTGTCGTACGAAAGGGGCGAAATAAGCCTACACGATTCGAGCGAGATTGTGCTACGAAGCGACATGGATAAGGTTAAGATAGAGGAGTTGCCGTTGTACAGTTTCGAGATGTTAGCAGTTGCTACCGATTATTTCGACTTGAGAAATAAATTAGGCATGGGTGGTTTTGGTCCCGTTTATAAAGTGAGTACATCTTTTATTTTTCAGCCATCTCGAAAAATAATAAAATAGTAGTTTTTTTTTTTTTTATAATTGCAGTGGGGGGTCTTGGCCCCCCTATGGCTATACCCTCGAAAAATATCAAATCTTTATATAAACTATCTAGGTTTTTCAAATGGGGGGCCATGGCCCCTCTATGACCCTACGCTGGCTTCGCCACATGGCCTAATTTTTTATTTTTTATTTTCGTTTTTTTAGGGAAAATTTACAAACGGGAATGAAATTGCGGTGAAGAGGCTTTCAACGTCATCCGGGCAAGGTCTAGACGAGTTTATGAATGAAGTGGTTGTGATTTCTAAACTCCAACATCGGAATCTTGTTCGTCTATTAGGGTGTTGTGTGGAGAAAGAAGAAAAGATGCTCATCTACGAATACATGCAGAATCGAAGCTTAGATGTTTTTCTCTTCGGTTAGTTTCGACAAATTCTCGTTTTGTTGGATATATATATACACACATTATATCCCAATCTTTTCAAACTCTAAATAAAATTTTCATTTAAAAATGTTTGGGTTGACAGATAGTACATCGGATGTTCTTGATTGGAGGAAACGATTTAATATAATCGAAGGCATCGGTAGAGGGCTTCTCTATCTTCATAGGGATTCGAGATTGAAAATAATTCATCGAGACCTCAAACCGAGTAATATATTATTGGATGAACATTGGAATCCGAAAATCTCCGATTTTGGCATGGCGAGAATTTTCGGGGGCAATCAAGATCAAGCCAACACCGGCAAAGTCGTCGGAACATAGTAAGTTTATCTACATTCGGTTAATTGCATTTTAGTCTAATTGTTAGAAAACTCTTTATATTAACAATATTAGCAAAAAACCCCCCTATAATTCCATATTTTTAGCAATCTACCCCCGAAAAATCGCTTCATTCTAGGAGTTGTGTGCTAATAAAATACATCATAAGGGGTTATTAGCAATTCAATATAACACATGTACATACGCATACATATACGACTGCTAACTTTAAAGTACAACTATATATGCAGCGGGTACATGGCCCCGGAATACGCGATGGGGGGAAGATTTTCGGAAAAATCCGACGTATTTAGCTTTGGAGTTCTTGTTTTGGAGATCATAAGTGGGAGAAAGAACACTAGCTTCTACAACGACGAGTTTTCTTTAGGCCTTTTGGGATTCGTAAGCCACAATATTTTATTTATTATTATTTTTTTTATAAATGTATTATTATACGAAATTAATTTTTCTATATTTCTTTTTTCAGGCGTGGAAATTGTGGAACGAAGACAATGTGGTGGAGATGATAGATGCGAGGATATCGAGTCCGGATTTTCAGACAGAAATTATGAGATGCTTGCACATAGGATTGTTGTGTGTGCAAGAATTCGCTATAAATAGGCCGAATATATCCACCGTTTTGTCGATGCTCAGTAGTGAAATTGTGGACCTTCAGTTGCCGGAGCATCCGGGTTTTACGGATCGGTGGACCCGTTCGCATGCCGGGTCGTCTTCTTCGACCCGTACCCGTTCGGCTAATCACATCACCCACACAGAAATGGAGGGGAGATGAGAGTCTTCTTCATGTACAAAGCCTTATAGAAATTTCTCTTTCTCGGATAAATTGAATTATTCTTCTCTTATTAATTTTATGATAATCATGATTATAATGTGTAAATATCGAATTGTGTGTTAATAATCAATTGTACACGTTATTATTTACTTATTTACTATTACATATATCCCTTTTGGTTAAGGATTGAAATTGGATGGATCAGATCAGAATTGGAAGTTTTGAACAAAAATCGTTTTTTTCTGTAAGTGAAAAGCTAATTCCAATACCATTAAAAAAATATCGGAAAAGTCAGAATTCGGAAATTAGAATTTTGGATTGGAATTGATGGGATTTGGAAAATTCAACTTTTACAAGTTCAATTTCAGAAAAAATAAAAATGGAACTATCAAAATCAGTGGAAATCGGAAAGGATATTGTATTATATGGGCTTAGTGGGGGCCCACAACTGTCAATTAATTGGGCCCACGTAACATAACTGCCTCTGATTTGTCTAATTAACTGAAGTGGACTACTTCATTTTGTCAAGCCCAACAATATAAATTGGTCAAGGCCTATATGAATTGGCAATTATAATTTTTTTTTGAAGAAAATCAAAATACAATGAAAATTTCAATTAACCTCGTTTAAATCTAAAAAAGATAGTCAATTTTATGTTCTCGTATGTATAATAGTACTATTTTAAAAAAATCCCATGAAAGTTCATCCAATCTATCCCTAATCAGGTGAAGAAGATGCTAAGTTTTTTGTCACGATTCGGTTTCCTTTATCACAGTTCTTGTTCAGAGTCCATCGACAGTGGTATCAACAGCCGCATCAGAACCCTAGATCGGACCAAAATTTTTCAGATTTTGACCGGACTCTTACCCAAAACCCCCAACGTAACCTTACATGATTTGAACTCTCTCGTGTTTTCCTCATGACTTAGAAGTTGATCTCACTCGTTCACCGAAAAACAGTAATCTGAAACTAGGCAGAGATTCAAAATTCTCTCTCTCTCTCTCTCTCTCTCTCTCTCTCTCTCTCTCTCTCTCTCTCTCTCTCTCTCTCTCTCTCTCTCCGTGGCTCAAAATATATAGATGCATGGGAAAAGCAAATCGATCTCAAAAGGAGAAGGCAACTTAGGGTACTCCGAAACAAAGATCTAGAGTGTTCCGACTTCCGAGGCTTCGACCGACAATTGGGCTTTCGTACTATTGGGCCCATTGTGTTGGGCAGCCTCAAGTGGACTGAATTCGAATAATGCTCAAAATCCAACATATATATATGTATGTATATATGTATGTACAAACAACCCTAGTGGATCGATGTTATTTAAATATAGGAGCAAGGGAAACAAATAAAAAAGGTATATTCTTGATATATATTCAGAGGGACGAACGACACGGAAGAATATTTTCCGATGCGTGTCAGAAAGAAGAATCTCGGCCAGCAATACACACACACACATAGAAAAAAAAAGATAAATTAAAGAACCCTAAAAAACACAATATAAAGCAAGAAAGAAAAAAAAAAGTGGGATAATAATAGATAATGATAAATTTGATACTGTATTATTAGAATAATTAATTAATTAAAGAGATAAAAAAAAAAAGGAGAGAGAGAGAGGAATCTAAAGAAAAGGTGTGAATTGGAGTCTTGTACCTGAAGTTTTATTACAGAAAGTGACCAACCATTCATCATTGGTAACAAGAATTCGATTCCCCTTTTTCTTTTCTACTACTCTTAATTTAACCCTTTCTTCTTCTCAGGGGGCCTCCTTTTTTTTTTTTAATTAATTAAATTTTTATTTATATATTTTATAATTTTGTTAATTTCACATGGTTGAGGTGAAATTTGAACTGATCGAATTGAAATTAAAACTGAAACGACTTTTGTCACATTCCTTTGTAAATTTCAAAAAAATGGATATTCTATTTTTCTATATAATATTTATGTATGTATAACTTATCGATCCCCCCCGTATAAAACTTATAAAGAACACCGTACAAATTTAATACTTTATAATACATACAATTTCGTAATATTTTCGGAGATTAAATTATAATCAGATAAATTAGAAAAACATATTGGGATCAAAATCAAGTCCATGCATGCATGAGAAATTAAACATGAACATTATTATATATTATTTATGGAAATATAAATATATGTAATAAATAATAATAGTGATTATTTGTGGATGTTTGGAAAAAAAACCCTAGCTAGGTAGAGAGAATCTTGATGGCTTGAAGGCCACTTAAGTAAAGCAGGAGGTAAGTAGCAAAAGAAGATTCCTTTGATATTCTTTTCTTTTAAACAAGAATATTAATCTACTTTCTTCTCTTTAATCTTCTTGCTTTTCTGTGCTCTTAATTTTCAGTCGTAGAATTTTTGCCCAGATATTCCCTTTCACTACCAGCTCTATATATATACATACTAATTTATAATAATTAAATAATAATTATATTATATTATTCTCTCTTTCTCTCTCTTAATGTGTGTGTGTGTGCACTTTAATATAATGTAGAGGAATATATATATATTATGCAAACTTTAATTTTAAAGTTTGAAAACCCCAAAAAGAAAGTTGTTCTAATTTGCTTGGAGGTAGGATTGATACTGAACACCATTTTGAATATTTCCTACATAACATCTTTTATTATTTATTAATTGCATTTTTAATATTCTAATATGCTCTTCTAATACCTTTTTTACATGTAAGATAAATCACAATATAATGTAATGGAATCAATTATCACATTCAACGATGAATATTTCGTTATCGAACACACGCACTATTTATCCTTTCCAATTCATAACCTAACCAAACCCTAATCTAATAATTAATTAATAGTTAGGGTCAATGTTTATGGCAAACCATTTGAACTAATGTTAAATTACGGAAAAAATTCCTCATATTTGAGTAGTTACAGTCATTCTTCAACTATGAATTTTCTTACACGTTCACTCTTATGGGGTCGAATTCAACAGAATCTTCTAGATCCCGTGGCATGTTACTAGCTAGTCTGTACTCGTTTTGTGCAAACATATTGTTTCAGATTCACCACAAAAATGATATTTACAAGCCAAGAGACACATATCTTATGATCATCTTGTTTCAAAATGTGGAGCTCGAATGAGTTAAAACGGGTAGAAACTGTAGACTATTCCACATAAGCTAGAAGATTGCACTGAATTTGACATCGTAAGGGCGGACTTTTAAGAAGATTCATAGTTGATGGAGGTGGTTATAATTACCCAAACGAAAGAGGTTTTTTTGTAATTGGATCTTACCTCAAGTGGCTGATTGTCGTAATTTACCCTAAAATTAAAAGAAAGGAGTATCAAGAATGTAAAAAGAGTAAAAGAGGAAATTAAAAGGAAAAAAGAAAAAGAAAAGAAAAGAAAAAAAAAAAGTATAGTCTAAGAAGAAGAAGAAGAATCAAGATTAAAGATAAACCATGTTCTTTCCCAATAGCAAAGAAGCCCTTCAAACATTAGCTTTTCAGACAACCAAGTGATTCCTTTTTGCCATGAAACACCATTAAATATAGCCTTTTTTCCCTTTGCCTATTTGCAACTACATCTTCTTACCATACCTTCTCCTTTTTCTCTTTGCTTGCTTTTCTTTCTTTATTAATTGTTCTCCCGTATTACATATATTTTCTCTTGTTCTTGATTCGAGTTACGAACGTCTGCGCGTGAAAATTTATATGTGTAATTAGTTAGACAATATCATGATGACATCGCCATCGGAACTAAGCTTTGATTGCAAACCCCAAATCTATTCCATGCTCCCGAAACCTTTCGGGGAGCAAATACTATCATGCGATCAACAAACGCAAAAGATCGAAGAGTTTCTAGCCCGCCTCGAAGAAGAAAGGCTCAAGATCGACGCTTTCAAGCGCGAGCTTCCCCTTTGCATGCAACTCCTCACAAATGGTATTTATTACATTTTTCACACCTATATATATTATTATTAGTATATATCTACATGAACAAATATACATGCATGCAATTTTTATTTTTATTTTTTCATTTTTTTAATTTAATCATTCAGCAATGGAGGCATCGAGGCAACAACTACAGTCACAAAGGACAAACCAAGAAGAAAGGCCGATACTCGAGCAGTTCATTCCACTAAAAAACACGAGCAATAATTCGTGTAATAATAATATTTCAGACAAGGAGGCGAATCTATCGGCAGACAAAGCAAACTGGATGACGTCCGCACAGTTATGGAATCAAGAAAGTGGAGAGGAGGAAGAAGAAGAAGAAGAGACGAAGCCACCTCCGTCGCCGTTAAGGACAATATTACCCCCACAAGAAATTACCGATTTCAAACTAGGGTTTACGAACGAGGGCAAAAAGGTCATTAACGGCGGCGGCGGAGCGTTTCTACCGTTCTCTTCTTCTTCTTCGATGAATTGCGGTGAAGGGTTTCCGGAATTAGCGCTTGCTAATTCATCCCGTAATGAAGAGATGAAGAATTCGTCGTCGTCGTCGGAGGTTGTTAAGAATATTTGTCGGAGAGAGAATTCGGTTGCTGTTGTTGGTAGTGAGAGAGAGCAGGTTGTTGTTAGTGGTGGGGCGGCGGCGAGTAATGGAAGTCAGACTAACAGAAAGGCGAGGCGGTGTTGGTCGCCGGATTTGCACCGGCGGTTTGTTAATGCTCTTCATATGTTGGGTGGTTCACAAGGTAAGAACAGTAAGTTTTCCGACCATTTTGTTATTATTTATTATATTTCTTTTCTTTTTAGAAAAATAAATTCAAGAATATCTTATTATGATTACTATTAATTTTTTTTTTTTAATTTTAAAATGTTTTGAAATGGTGTTTTTGGCAGTGGCTACTCCGAAACAAATTAGAGAGCTGATGAAGGTGGATGGTTTGACCAATGATGAAGTTAAAAGCCATTTGCAGGTTTCTCTCTCTCTAGATCTCTCTCTCTCTCTCTCTCTCTAACACATGCATATATAACTATTATTTGCATGCGCAGAAATACAGACTCCACACAAGAAGGCCAAGTCCGAGCCCACAAACTTCCGTGGCGGCGGGCCCTCAGGTGGTGGTTCTGGGTGGGATATGGGTCCCACCGGAATACGCGGCTGCCGCGGCTGCACACCACCACAGCGGCGCACAGGCTGCAGCCCTATACGGAGCACACGCCGCCCATCACCTTTCACCTTCTTTCTGCGGCTCCCAGTCGGCACAGCCAGGACAGCAAGAACTCTACCCCGCAATAGCACCGCCGCCGCCCCCCCATAACCACCAGCTTCACCGCCACGCCATCCACCACCACCAGCAACAGCAACAACAGCAGCAGCAACTCCATTTGTACAATAAGCCTCCTCCGTTAACACAACGCGGGAGAAACATCTCGCCGGAAACAGATGTCCGTGGTGGCGGCGGCGCCGGTGACCCGTCGGAGAGCATTGAAGACGGAAAGTCGGAGAGCGGCAGCTGGAAGGCTGACAGTGGTGGTGGTGAAAACGGTGGAGAGAGAAGAAGACTTGACGGGGAGGAAAGTAACGGTAGCGGCGTCACGCTCAAATTCTGAAAACCGTTAAATGCAACTAATCAACGTTAGTGTCGGTTAATTAGGGTTTTAGGGCAGTGAGTATAATTTAGGGGTTTGTATTTTAGTTGTATTTATTTTGAAGTCCCTATAACATAGGACTGTGTTTGTTTGAAAATTGGGACCCTCCAATATTTTTGTGCTTGCCCATGTTTTTGAAAAATAAATTAAGATAAAATAAAATTGGAGAATGTATTAATTTAAACTTAATTGTTCAAACTTATGAATTTGGACGGTATTGTAATAAAATATCAGCGTTTCTGAAATTATGTTTTTGTCTAACTCAGTTCCTTTTTTTGTGTGAGTTTTGGGAATATCCCCATTCATAAGTCCGAGATCTACATCTATGAATTGAAAGGTACGAATGATCAACTGTTCAATCAGTTATTAGAATCAATAGATCTTCAAATTGTTCATTTGGAAAAAAATGGAAACCCTTCTTATTGGATGATCATGATACTTCCCGAAAATCGAAATTCTTGATCAAAATGCATGCCTACTTTAATCAGCGTTTCCTCGAGTAATCCGGGCACACAATCAACCTTGGCTAATCAACCGTCGCCGCGCTCTCGTATCTTGAATAGCCCCTTCAGACGTTTCCCTCGGTTATTTCCTCTAATTTTGCATATGTCACCAGTCATTCGACCATTAATGATAGTGCCCGATAAGGTCGTCTATGCTTTTCCTAGTGTCGGTCGGAGCCATTAATAGTTGTGCTGAGTCACCATATTGCTTTTCCGATCCGAGAGCCATATATCCATCGGCCCTCCGTAGTGCATCTCACTCGCTCGACTATACTGCAGAGGATCGGAGGGGCCTTTCACATGAGCTGCATGCGTATCTTGATGCATGGGCCTGATCTCTCGGGTGGGCTCTCTAGCATGTTGGATCCTATATATATATATATATATATATATATATAAGTGGGCCTTGTTTATTCGACTCTTTATCTCCTTTTTAATTAAATGTACGTGTTCAAATTTATCTGAAATTTTAACGATCATTTCAAACTTGTGCTTAACAAATCGAGCACTCAAAACATAAATCGAACTCAAATTAATAGTTTTAATTCTAGAACATGAAAATACGATGTTTCAGTTCATAACGACAAATTACACTTTTTTTATAATTAGAAAAAAAAAATTAATAAAAAATCAGTTCCACAAGGAGAGAAGATAATCACGAGTGATGGGATTAAAAACACGTGCTGCATTACTCTCAATCAGATCCAACTGCGCCTTCATCAGATGAATGTAGACGATCCAATCCCCATTCCCATTCGGACTCGGCATCGGCATCACGTATCCCGATTTCCCACCCCACGGGAAATGATACGAACCAAACGCCGGATTACCCCACCCGTAATCCATCTCTCTCACCGGAAACCGCTGCCCCGACGACACCACCACCGCCGCCTCCTCCTCCTCCTCCGCCGCCGCGTATATCCTTGACACCCCCTTCTCGGGGCGCCGCTCCTCCACCCAGTCTATCAGCCCTAGGAAATGCTCCCTCGTAACCGCCGCCTGTAAGAACGCGTGGACCTCACGCGCCGCCCAGTTCAGTGGCTTTCCGGTCAGTTCCGCGATTTTCTTCTCCCCGAATGGGATTGATAAAACATTCCCAAAATACGATTCGATTTCATCTCCGTCATCGATCAGTCTGTTCCTCCCGTCGACCACGACTCCCAGCCGGCAGTGATTATCTCCGGCGGAATCTTCGCCGGAGGCGATCGTTTTCCATATGAATGCGCAGAACGCCTCCATTTTGGTCCTCCGAGTGCCGCTATTGTCTACATTAGCCTGTGCTTGGAGCTGGTTGACTTGGTCAGCTTTCATGTAGTATATGCGACTCATCGCCGTCGCTAATCGGTCGTTGTCTTGGGGATGGTTTTCCGGCGGCGGCGGCGGCGGAATAGATGAAACGTTGACGTACATATCGTCGACTGACTGGTGATAGCCACCGGGAAGTCTGGGGAGGAGGAGGGAGCGGCGGAAGGACGGCGGCCGGGAAAGTGGCTTTGACTGCGCAGTCTCCGCCCATGAAACGAGGAACATATTGGCGGAGTAGGCGTCCGCCACCTGATGAGCGAATGTACACGCCACCACCAATCCTCCATTTTTGAGTTGAGTGGCCTGTCATTATATATTTCTTTATTAATATTTTATTTTCTCATAATTAAATTTAAAAATAAATAAATAAAGTTTATATTATGCTCCATATTAAAATAATATTGCATATTTGCATTGGGACTCTCAATTTGTGCCTATCAATTATGTTATCCATCATCTTTGTATTTTATATTCCAATAAAAAAATAATAATTTAAAAGTACTTTTGCTCGTTTTAAACTTTTGAGTAAATTAGAATCATTCCATGAGGCAAGTTACGAAAAATCCGTCGCGTTTGGGTATTTACAACTGTATAATTACCCATTAATTACGAATATTCACACATGTCACATTTATGGTGTCAAATTTATATAATCTTTCATATTTTATAGAATATTCTCTACTTTGTACTAGTTTTCTGAAAAAATACAGTACCACAATGTGATATTTATAAGCCAAGACCAAATGACACATCTTGTTACAAAAAACGGGTATAATCTGGAAAACATAAATTTGGTTATAAATATCACACGGTAGTACATCATAAACTGCATTTTTTCTTATGAATATTCACTAGATTGTATGCATTTTTTTTTATGGTATTCTTATTTTAAAATGTGGAACTCGAATAAGATAAAACGGGTACAATCTAAAAAACATTCCACATAATCTAAAAGATTTGACCAAGTTAAACACCACACGGGTGGATATGTTAAAAAAATCATTATCGAAGAGGTACTGTAATTATCCAAACATTTTTTTTCCCGTAATTTGACACTGCATGAGCTGGAGGACGTAACCATAAAAAATATTATATTTTTTGTTTGAACTAACAATAAGTGTAAAACATTACATAAAATACATGAAATGTAATACTAATTAATAATAACTCACAACATATTATCATTCGTCTGTGTATGTTCTTAAGAAACTATAATTTAATTAATTAAGGACTAATCAAATTCAAATCTTCTATATATACATACACAGATTTATAGAGAGATATATATATATATATATATATATATATATATATATATATATATATATATATATATATATATATATATATATATATTCAATTTTCTAGTACATACTCCATAGGCGGACCACTAGAATTGTGGCTGTAAAATAAAGAAAATAAAGAGACAAAATAAAAAAAAAATAAAAAAAACATTGTACTATTAATTGAATCTTGTGTCTCAATATGGAAAACTTGCATTCGTCGTTGAAATCGATGTAATACTAAAAATAAGGTAAGAAAAAATAGCTGTATTATTTTATAGTATTTCTTTAAAAATAAAATTAATTGTACGTTTTTTTTGAAATACTAAAAATAGAGGTACATGTACATGCAGAAGAAAATGTAAACTGGAAGCATACATGAATTTAGAAATACTATAATTAAAGAATATATGAATTCGGACACTTACTTGAACGGCGAGAACGCCGTGATTTCTCGCCGGAATGAGCTTTCCTTCGACGGTGTCGTCGGGGTTGTAAAAATCAAGATCCTTGAATTCGACGTCGGCGGAAGCTTCGACGAAATCTACGCCGCAGTTGTTGCAGAGGAGTTCCGGCTCTCCGGCGCCGTTCTTGACCAGCTCGCCGGCGAACGGGTAGTACGGAACCAGCGTCTGGGCCAAGGAGTTCTTCAGAACGCCGACCATGTGGTCGAAGGTGAGTTCATGGCGGCGGTTGTTGTTGTTGTCGTAGCAGAAAAAGACGCCGAAGTCAACCGGCGGCAAGAGCAGGTCGAGGTTGGATAGCGGCAGCAAGTGTTCTTGCATTGGCAGCGCCGCCGCCACCACCTCCGTTCCGCTCACCTTCACCACAAAGTCTCGTTTTGCGTGCATTCTTTCTCTTTTTTTTTTTCTTTTTGTTTTTTTTAATTGTGTAGTTAATTCAGAGTGGAAGGTGGGATTTATGGGTGGAAGCAGAATTTAACTTATGTATTTATAGATTTCATTTTAGTGGTGGTGGTGGTGGTACCCTCTTTATAATATTATAATATTAATTATTTTTTCCAAATTTTACAATTAAGTTGACGAATCTTGACTCGTGTATTTAAATATCTTGAGTATATACATATATATATATATATATATATATATATATATATATATATATATATATATATATATATAATCTAATTATTATGTGATTGTGCATTCCAAGGAGTGGCCTATTTTGACCCGAGTTCGGATTAATTTCTTCTAGTTTTAATTAACTCCTTGAGTGTGATTTATATATCTCGTATGAATGTTGCAGCTCGATTGCTGCTACTTCTCTTCTCGATATAAAATTTATTCGAGTGATTATTCCAAAATTCAAACCGATTTTCAACCATTTAGGGCTATATAAGAAAAAGTGATTGGCAAAAGATGATATTTCCATGTTGGGTGAACCGATTTTATGCATATTATAAAATCAAGAAAACATCACTAATATGTATATTAGTATATACGTTTTACTATTTATTATATATATATATATATATATATATATATATATAGATAATATATTTGTTGTGGGTAAAAATGTGAAACAACTACTAACAACTCTATGTCATAATCTAGAAATTTATGTTATATAATGACAAATGTTGCTACAAATTGCTATTAACTTAATTGAATTACTATTAGATGGTTCAAAATGTCATAACCAATTAACCATTATGACAAAAAAATATATAGTTAAATTTCTATAAATTAGCACCGTCTGAGCTAGCAAAATTCTATTAATTTAGCGAAATATTAAATTATCGAACTAATTTTCTTTTACCGACTTAAGGATTGAAGAAATTATTATTTAAGCGATGTTATTAATTTATCGAGGTTCTGATGTACAATGTCCTCGTATAAATAGTTGAGGCGATATGCTTAATGGGCTCAATAGAATAAATGGGCTGTTTGAATAGTTTACATAGAATTAATGGGCTAGAACTATTTCGTCCGAATAATGTACAGTAAAGTCAGTTAGCCCTTATGGAATTAATGGGCTTTTTGAATAATAATAAAGTAAAAGTAATATTAGTAGCTATTTATTTATTTCTCTTTCATATTTATATGTTTTTATTTGATTTTATAATTCCATAATACATTCGGTAAATATTCCAGGTGAAATCAGACGGATGGTAGTTCAGAATATCATAATGATTTTTTTTACAAAATCGTACGAAATTCAAAAATTCTAATTTTCCGTTGTGATTTAATATGCATAATGATATTGATATTACGAGTATAAGTATAGTTTTCGAAAAACAATTGAGATTTTTTTTACAAAATATAATGATTAAAAATCAGACCGAAATTTAAATTATTTAGTGAAATCCAATTTTTTTTTTTTTTTTTTTCAGAAATCGTGACGTTCATAATTTGTTAATGAGTATATAATTGAAATGGGCGAAATTCGGAAGTTTCGTTTTTAATTTCCATTCCTAATAAATATCACAGCCAAAATTCCAATTCACAATATTTCAAATTAGAATATTCTCTTTTAAATGTTTATTATTGACCAAATTGTGACCATATATTATTATGTGTACAAATGTCAATAATGGTGTTCATGGAAGAACAGGCAACTCTGTATTCACATCACAATCAAAGATTAGTATCAACATACTGAAAATGGAGCCTGGAATTTTTCACACCACTGAATTTCTAATCAAACCCCAAAATTCAAAATTAGGGTTTTATCCAGCATCCCGAAAAAAACTCGAAGATTAATCAATCATGGGCTTCACCCTGCAAATTTTCATGCTTATTATACTTATTACACACTGTTGTTTTCTAGGGTTTATCGCAAATGCCACCGACACGATTAGGGCTAACCAATCGCTTCACGATTCCGAAACACTGGTCTCCAATGGCGAAAAATTCAAGCTTGGATTTTTCAGCCCAGTTAACAGCAGTTACCGTTATGTTGGTATAATGTTCAACGTACCGGTAACGACCGTTATCTGGGTGGCGAACAGAGAAACCCCACTGAGCGATTCTTCCGGAACACTCCAGATATCGGCGGATGGCAATCTCGTAATATTGGACGGAGGGAAGGGGGTAATATGGTCATCCAATCTTTCATCATCTTCTCCGGTTAGAAATTCCAGTGTTGTTTTATTAGACACAGGGAATCTTGTTCTACGAGATGATTTTGACAATGGTTCTGTTTGGGAGAGCTTCAGACACGCCTCGGATTCCTTCGTAGCGAATCTCGAAATCTTCGCGGATTCGAACACGAACGAGACGAACACGCTGACGTCATGGCGAAGCCCGTCGGATCCAGGGTATGGGAGCTTCACCCTCACAATGGAGCCTGTCGGGATTCCGGAGTGTTTCATATGGAAAAACGGCATCGTTCCGCATTGGCGGAGCGGGCCGTGGAACGGCCAGATTTTCGACGGGATACCGAACATGAACTCGGTCGACAAGCACGGATTGGATATTGTCAACAGCTACTCGGGAGCGGCTTATTTGTCTTTCAAGCTTTTGAATGCTTCGGTTTTGGTTTATTACGTGTTGAACTCGTTGGGTTCGTTGCAAGAGATGGAGTGGTCCGAGGAGAGAAATGAGTGGGTTGAGAATTGGTCGTCGAGTAATAACGAGTGCGATTTGTACGGAAAGTGTGGAGCTTTTGGGAGCTGTAACAATCAAGAAAGTCCGATTTGCTCGTGTTTTCGTGGGTTCGAGCCGAAAGTTGAAGAAGAGTGGAGAAATGGGAATTGGAGTAACGGTTGTAGGAGAAAAACGGGTCTTCTACAATGCGGGACAAACGGGTCGGCTAACGGGTTGGAAAAACCGGACGGGTTCTTTAAAATGGATAGCGTCAAGTTGCCGGATCGAGATACTTGGTTTCCCACTTCAGAAGAAGAGTGCATGAGCCAGTGCTTGAGTAACTGTTCTTGTATTGCTTATTCGTACAGTGCCGGAACAGGGTGTATGAAGTGGGGAGATGATTTGATCGACGTGCAGAAGTTTCCGAACGGTGTCGCTGACCTGTACATTCGGTTAGCGTTTTCGGAATTAGGTATAATATATAGCTTCTTGAAAGTTCCGAAATTCATTAAAATGTTCGTTGAAATTACTTTATGTTTTCTCGTATACTTTTTGCAGGTAATAACAAGAAAGACCGTAAGGCAATTATTGCTTCGACGGTGATTCTTGGATCCTTAACTGTAGTTGTATGCGCATTCTTTTTGAGGAAGTTGTTGCTCAAATACAGAGGTATATATCTATATATGTATATATAGGCACATTCGACTTAATTGAGAATGTTTATTTGAATAATATAATATTGTAATTTTTTTTCTCGTTTTAAAGGTGGGAAGACGAGAGGTAATGAGTTGTTAATGTCGACAACCGAGGAAACAGAAAAGGGGCATTCACAAGAATCCAAGTTCGATGATTTACCGTTGTTTAAATTTCAGACATTATCAGATGCAACGGATAAATTCGACTTAAATAATAAACTCGGGCAGGGTGGTTTTGGTCCGGTTTACAAAGTATGTATCGTTCTTGTTTTTTAATTGCAGATTTATTAGTTTCTTGCAGTGTGCGAATTTAGTTTAATTTAATTGGTTTTTTATTTTTTTTGCAGGGGAAATTACCGAACGGGCAAGAAATAGCGGTAAAAAGGCTAGCAAAATCGTCTAACCAAGGATTAGTGGAGTTCATGAACGAGGTCGATTTAATTTCTAAGCTACAGCATCGGAATCTCGTAAAACTAATCGGTTGTTGTGTCGAGTGTGAAGAGAAAATGCTCGTTTACGAATACATGCACAATGGGAGCTTAAATGCTCATCTCTTCGGTAAGTCGAACGATTTATCGAGCTTCATTTATATATATGTTGTCCGAATTCAGACCGACCAATACGCGATGTCTAATCTAAACTTGTGTAATACTTGTTAGATTCGCATAAGAAAGAGTTTCTTGATTGGAAAACACGAGCGATGATTATTGAAGGGATTTGTCGAGGGCTTCTCTACCTTCATAGGGATTCAAGATTGAGGATAATACATCGAGATTTGAAGGCTAGTAACATATTATTGGACGATGAATTGAACCCGAAAATTTCGGATTTTGGGATGGCTAGGATTTTTCGTTTGAAAGAAGACGAAGCCAATACTACAAGAGTCGTCGGGACATAGTAAGTAACAGTTATTTTTTCATATTTAATTTAATTTTTTTCTTTTTCTAAATAGATTTAAAATGTTTGATTTATGATGCTTGCAGCGGGTACATGTCGCCGGAATATGCTTTACACGGAATATTCTCCGAAAAATCGGATGTGTACAGCTTAGGCATACTGTTATTAGAGATTGTGAGTGGAAGGAGAAACAGCAGTTTTTACCATGAAGAGCAGCAGCTTTTCCTAATTGAATATGTAAGTTAATTTTCCACATAAAAAATCAAATTATTTTATTCCAAATTTAACATTTTGGTTTACCTACGTCGATATGTAATTTTCAGGTGTGGGAATTGTGGAACGAGGATAAAATGGTAAATTTGATTGATCCAGTAATATACGATCCTGGAATGGGAAACGAAATAGTGAGATATGCAAATGTAGGTTTATTGTGCGTGCAAGATATGGCTGCAGATAGGCCGAATGTTTCGACTGTTTTGTCGATGCTTAGCTGCGAGATTTTAGATCTTCCTTGTCCTAAGAAACCGGTTTTCTTCGGGACTCAGAGTACTTCGGAAACAGAATGTTCCGGTGAGAATCTAAGTAAACGTTCTCTCAATGAAGTTTCCGTGACTATTAGTGGAGGCCGATAGAACTTTCTAGAAGGAATATATATATATATATACCAATTTGTAAAAATAAACACTTGTAAAAGTTTCAAAGTATTATTTTACTGTAAAGGGTTGCATATGAAAATAAATAAATTCTTCATTCGTTATTCTTTATTTTTTTTCATTAATATGAGGTTTATAGATTGAAATTACCACTTTTTCACACAAACACACGTGTGTATAGATCTCGACATTTTCCTCGAAAAGTTTCGAAAAGAACAGTACCAATATGAACTTCACCATAATTACAAAAAAAAAATTTATAACGATCGAGAGTACAAATTCAAAATTCATTGTAGCACGAATTCATCATCGAAACAAACTCAATGAATTTACTAGTATGAACACAACGTATGCAACTAATGAATCGAGTAATTTTTTTAGATCTACCGGCCTTCAACAGTAGTCACCGACATTTCGTTCCGAGAGCACTTACTTAGATTCCCCCGAGAATATTCCGTTTCCGAAGATCTCTGGGTCCCGAAAAAAGCCGGTTTCTTAGGACAAGGCAGCTCTAGAATATCAGAGCCAAGCATCGATAAAACTGTCGAAATATTCGGCCTGTCAGCAGCTACATCTTGCACGCACAATAAACCTACATTTGCGTATCTCACTATTTCACTTTCCAATATTCCGGAGCCATTTATTGTTGGATCAATTAAATTTACCATTTTCTCCTCATTCCACAATTTCTATTACAGGATCAACGAGGTCAAGCCCACGTTCGTTTTCCCACAAGTTCCAAGCCTAAAATAAAAACCCGCAACAAAATCCATATAAAATTTTGCTTTATCTTTTTCGTATAAAATTCGATAATTTATTGGAATTAGCACTTACATATCCAAGAAGACTAAGATAAGCAGAACCGTAAAAACCAGTGTTTTTCTGTCCGCTAGTAATCTCGAGCATCAATACTCCAAAGGCAAAAACATCAGATTTTACCGGAAAGAGTCCTTCCATTGCATATCCCGGTGACATATAACCACTGAATTTATGTGGGAAAATAAATAAATAAATAACCATCAATTCAAGAAAACGATTTTATGCACGAAGAAGATGCGTTTTCACTTACTAAGTACCGACAATTCGTTTAGTATTTGCTTGCAATTCGTTTCCTCCAAAGATTCTCGCCATTCCGAAATCGGAGATTTTGGGGTTCATTTCAGCATCGAGGAGAATATTACTAGCTTTTAGGTCTCTGTGAACAATTCTTAATCGGGAATAATGGTGCAGATATAGAAGCCCTTGAGCAATGCCTTGGATTATACGAACACGTCTTTTCCAATCCAATACCTCTTTCTTGCTCGGCTCTACATTTTCACAAATTATAAACGACGATTTCTTGCAAATGATAACAAATAAAAAAAAAAAAAAATCAGAATGTTTACGAACTGGCCCACACCGAAGAGAAAAAAATCCAAGCTTTTGTTGGGCATGTATTCGTAGACTAATATCTTCTCGTCGTTTTCGACAAGATTTCTGTGCTGGAGTTTGTCAATCAGTTCTGTCTCATTTCTGAACTCTTCAAGCCCTTGTCCAGATTTTCTTGAAAGCCTTTTCACCGCTACAAACTGTCCGTTAAGTAACTCACCCTGAAAAATAGCGACGAAAAGAAAAATGACAAACCCTCTGTAGTACGCGATAACGAAAATCACGTGTTCATGCAGAAGAACCATTGTATGTAACAAGCATTACCTTGTAAACAGGTCCAAAGCATTCTTCTCTCTTTAAATTAAAAAATAAAAAAATAAAAAAAATTACCTTTTACACTTTCTTCCCCCTTTTTCCTGCCCCAAACCCCTCATCAATGATCAATACCAGTACTAGCGCCGCCCGCATCGGACGCCACACCAAATCGGCATTCGCCGCCGCCCGGTACCACCGGCAACCTCTGACCTCCTCCAAAAACATCTGCCCCATGCATATATGAGGGGTCCACTCTCCGGTTGTCTGCCCTAGTTCAGTTCCGTCGGCGATTTGTAGACGTAATTTGGGATTTTTTTTGAACTTCCGTGTTTAAATAGAGAAGCTAAAAGTAATTAATAAAAAGAAAGGGATGTGCTAAATCCCACACTAAAATTTACTAAATCCCACACATAAATTAAAAAAAGAAATACTCATATTCTCTCTGACTTCTCTATATGATAATTTTATCCAAATCACTCAAAATTCGTTAATTTTTCACGTGAATAATCATAAAAAAAATAGTTCAGTTTTATTTAGTATTTATTCAATTTCATTATGCCTTTTTAATTATTCAAATTCATATCGATTCGAATTTTTTCTTCAAATTCCAACTTTATTTTAGTTTGAACACGTGAAGATTTTTCTCCAATTCGAACTTGAAATGCTAGGGACGTTTTTTATGTGTGACTTTGTGAAAAAGTTAGCAGAAAAAAAAGAAGGGTGGAGAAGGAGAAGAGAAGATTTTATAGAGAGAGATATTTTCAATTGTGTGCATGATTTGATAAAATTAATGTGTGATTTAGCATTCCAGAAAAAAAATAGAAGATAAGCATACGGCGACGTTTTGAGGGTAAAGTTGGACTTGGGCCTTGAACCTGGGCCAGAAGCAGGTAGGCCGTATTTTATTAATGAGATTTGGCGCAATCCGGATATGCAAATTAGGTGATGGACACATGTAAGGAGATTAGTTCATGAAGAACAGTAATTAAATCAAAGTGTAGGGGTAAAAAATCAAATTAAATGAAGTAAAATGGGGGTAAAAATGACAAAAACAGTGAAAGCAGCGGGGCCCTTTCAAAGGAAGAAAAAAGGATTTGTGCTTTACAATATTCAATCATAATTTTTGAATGAAGAAAATTTTCATTTTATTTGTATTTTGTAAGGGTTTTTATTATAAATAATCTTATTATTATTATAGTTATATTATGTGATAGGATATATAAATGATTGAGATATAATCATGTTCAAGTATCTTTTTATATATGTTTTGAGTATTTACGAATAATATCTAGCAATATTATATTAAATTTTAAAACCGTTTTATTTCCAATTTATCATCCATTAATCATCGTCTCGCCGATTGTTGCCAACAAATTTGAAGTGATTTCATGTATTCGTTGGTGGTGTGATATACTATTAAACATTCTGATGACATTGAAATCTGCCTTTTCATCGGCCTTCCTCCGAGTCTGCTCAACGAGCCTAAGTCGAAGGGGCTCAAGAGTAGAAGATTCTAGAAGATTTTCTAGAGTACTCCCATTAGTATAGTTGTATATATTTGGTAGGAGATCATAGAAGTTAATCGTACTTTAGATCAAGATAATCACCATCATCTATTGATGAGAAGTGGAGTTGTATAAATATAAGTATTGGGATATTTTTGAACTTCCGTGTTTAAATAGAGAAGCTAAAAATAATTAATTAAAAAAAATAAAAATAGAAGATAAGTTCATGAAGAACAGTAATTAAATCAAAGTGTAGGGGTAAAAATCAAATTAAATGAAGTAAAAGCGACAAATACGGCGCCGTTTTATTATATTAACCGAAAATCAATTATAAAACTAAAAAAATATCCGTTAGTTAAAACACAAACCCCAATAATCCAAAACCCCACTAGACCTGCCTTCTTCTTCTTCCATATTAATGGAGTCGTCGTCGGGCACATTTTCCGGCGGTCGAAAACTTGACGGTGGCTGAGCGCGAACTCGAGCAGCGCGGGGATCGACGAAGAAAAAGGTAAAAAATTTCGATATTCTTGTTTTCTTGTTTTACTGTAAAGGGTTGCATATGAAAATAAATAAATTCTTCATTCGTTATTCTTTTGTTTTTTTTTTTCATTAATATGAGGTTTAGAGATTGAAATTACCATTTTTTCACACAAACACACGTGTGTATAGATCTCGACATTTTCCTCGAAAAGTTTCGAAAAGAACAGTACGAATATGAAATTCATCATAATTACAAAAAAAAATTTATATCGATCGAGAGTACAAACTCAAAATTCATTGTAGTACGAATTATCATCGAAACAAACTCAATGAATTTCCTAGTATGAAAATAATGTATGCAATGAATCGAGCAACTTTTTTAGTTCTACCGGCCTTCAACAACAGTCACCGACATTTCGTTCCGAGAGCACTTACTTAGATTCCCACGAGAATATTCCGTTTCCGAAGATCTCTGGGTCCCGAAAAAAGCAGGTTGCTTAGGACAAGGCAGCTCTAGAATCTCGGAGCCAAGCATCGATAAAACTGTCGAAATATTCGGCCGGTCAGCAGCTACATCTTGCACGCACAATAAACCTACATTTGCATATCTCACTATTTCACTTTCCAATATTCCGGAGCCATTTATTGTTGGATCAATTAAATTTACCATTTTCTCCTCATTCCACAATTTCCACACCTGGAAATTAATTACCAACAAAGATAAACCAAGGGTTTAATTAATTTGGAAGTGATTTATTATTTATTAAAAAAAAAAAATTAGAAAATTAAAAACTTACATATTCGATTAGGTGTTGCTCTTCATGGTAAAAGCTGGTGTTCCTCTTTCCACTCAAAATCTCTAGTAGCAGTACCCCGAAGCTGTATACGTCTGACTTTTCCGAGAATATTCCGTGTAAAGCATATTCCGGCGACATGTAGCCGCTGCAATCATAATAAATGAGTATTTGAAATTTGTGTGACACTTAACTAAATGTTCTAATATATATGTGTGTGTGTGCGTCAGCGCGCGCTTACTATGTACCGACAACCCTTCTTGTATTGGCTTGGTTTTCTTTCAGACGAAAAATCCTAGCCATTCCGAAATCGGAAATTTTCGGGTTCAATTCATCATCCAACAATATATTACTAGCCTTCAAATCTCTATGAATGATCGTCAATCTTGAATCACGATGAAGGTAAAGAAGCCCTCGACAAATCCCTTCAATAATCATCGCTCGTGTTTTCCAATCAAGAAACCCTTTGTTACGCGAATCTGACAAGCATACAAACACAATCAATACACAGTTAACTCGGACAACATGTATATAAGTGAAACTCGATAATCGTTTGACTAATAATTACCAAATAGATAAGCATCCAAGCTTCCGTTGGGCAGATATTCGTAAACGAGCATTTTCTCTTCACACTCGACACAACAACCAATTAGTTTTACGAGATTACGATGCTGTAGCTTCGAAATCACCTCAACCTCATTCATCAACTCCTCTAATCCTTGGTTCGACGATCTTGCTAGTCTTTTTACTGCAATTTCTTGTCCATTTGGTAATTTCCCCTGCAAAACAAGTAATCGAATTCAATCACATATCCACATTACAAAACAAAAACAAAAAAAAACCACCATTTCGGGAAAACGATGAAATGAAGAAATACTTTGTAGACGGGACCAAAACCACCCTCTCCAAGCATATTATTCGAGTCGAATTGGGCTGTCGCATTTAAGAGCAGCTGAAATTTAAATACCGCCAATTCTTCAAGATTGTGGTTGAGCACGCTTTCTCGTGAATACCCTTCGCCTGTCTCGTGCATTGAAACGATATAAGACAAAAAGAAGATAAATTGCATACAATTATATATAATTATATATATACATACATACCTCTGTACTTGAGCAACAACTTCCACAGAAAATACGAACATACAGCTACGGCTATTAATCCTAAAACCACTATCGTTGCAATAATCGCCTTTTGGTGTTTCTTATTACCTGCACAAAATTCAACAACAAATATAAAATCGAAAAACATTAACAAGTAATTTGTATTAACATGTAATGTACCTAGTTCCGAATATGCCAATCGAATGTACAGGTCAGTAACACCTTTGGAGAACTTCTGCACATCGATCAAATCTTCGGTCCAAATCATACACCCAATGCCAGCTGTATACGCGTAAGCTATACAAGAGCAGTTAATCAAGCACAATCCTCTGCAATCATCCGAAGTGGGATACCATATCCCACGATCCGGCAGTTTTACACTATCCATTTTCGAGAACCCATCTGTAGAATTGCCTGCCGGCCCGCATTGTAGGCTCGTTTTTCGAACACACCCGTTACTCCAGTTCCCCATTTTCCATTCTTCTTCGAGTAGTTTCGGCTCAAACCCTGGAAAGCACGTGCAGATTGGCCTGTCTTGGTTATTACATCTCCCGAAAGGTCCGCACTTTCCGTACGCATCGCACTCGGTGTCGGCGGTTGACCACTTGACAACCCAATCGCCTCTTTCGGGAGACCACTCCTTCGCCTGTACGGCGCCGGTTGAATTCATCACGTAGTACACCAATAGAGACGAGTTTGACAGCGTAAAGGATAGATACGCGGTTCCGGAAACGCTGTTGACGATGTCCAATCCGTGCTTGTGGACTGAATTCATGGTTTGTATGCCGACGAATACCTGGCCGTTCCACGGCCCGCTTCGCCACTGCGGAACGACGCCGTTTTTCCAGACGAAGCACTCTGGGATTCCGACAGGCTTTACGCTGAGGGTGAAATTTCCAGGGCCTGGATCGGAAGCACTCCGCCATGACGTCAGCTTGTTCGTCACGTTGGTGTTGGAATCCGTGAAGATTTCGAGATTCGCTACGAAGGAATCAGATGCGTGATTGAAGCTCTCCCATAAATACGAGTTTGAGCTGGAGTTGGAATCTCGTAGAACAAGATTGCCTGTATCTAATAAAACAGCAGTACTGCTGGATGATGATGATGATGATGAAGAAGAATTGGAGGACCAAATTACCCTCATTCTTCCATCTAAAATAACGAGATTGCCATCCACTGATATCTGGATTGTTCCGGAAGAATCGTTCAGAGGTGTTTCTCTGTTAGCTACCCAGATAACGGTCGTTACTGGGAGATTGAACATTACACCAACATAACGGTAACGGCTGTTTTCTGGGCTGAAAAACCCCAGTTTGAATTTTCCACCACTGGAAATCAGGGTTTCGGAATCACGAAGCGTTCGATTAACATTAATTGTGTCGGTGGAAGAGGTAAATCCGATGAAAAAGGAAGATGTAATAATAAGTAATTCAAGAATTGAAGAAGATAAGCTTCTTCTATGGTGTCTGAGTCGTCCCATGAATTATTAATTTTCCTTTTTTATGTGATACTTTCGTTTTAGTTCATCTTGTAAAGACTGGAATTTTGACGAGAGACAGTTGAACTGGATGTGTGTAGTAATAAGTCCAATTAATTTTTGGTCAAATTATGATCAGTCCTGAGGTATGGTCAAATTACGAAAAAACCCTCTTATGTTTGAGTAATTATAACCATTCTTCAACTATGAGTCTTCTTACATGTTCACTCTTATGGTGTCAAATTAAACATAATCTTCTAGATTCCGTGGAATGTTCTCTAGTGTTTGTACTCATTTTGTGCAAAAATACAGTTTCTGATGTACCACAATCTGATATTTACAAGCCAAATAAGCACATCTTATGATCATCTTGTTTCAAAATATGGAACTTGAATGGGATAAAACGAGTACAAAATCGAGAATTTTCCACATAATCTAGAAGATTCCACTAAATTTGACATTGCAAGTGTGGACGTGAAAAACGATTCATAGTTGATGGTGTAGTTGTAATTATAGAAATAAGGGTTTTTTGTAATTTGACCATGCAACAGGGGTTGGCCGTAATTGACCCTTAATTTAGTGAATAAAACAACGATTGAAGTAAACCATAAAAATGAAATGAATTGTAACTTCAATTCTCATCACAGGAGTTGAATAAAAGTTTATCAAAAATTAATTAAATGTATTAAAAAAAATAAAAAAAAAAGGGGATTTTTTTTCATTGTTCAATACACTGTGATTCTGAATATTGGGAATTTGTAATAAAAGAGAGAGTTTTAAACCTCAACGAGCATCCATATGTGAAAGTGTGAGACCATTTGCAGAGCAGATTCCATCTTTGCCTTCTCCTCCAGAGCTTGCCTTAACCAAAGTTCTTCCGACAGTAAAAGCGGGATGCTGAGGTGGCGCTAACTCCGTTCCTTCGTTATTTAACATGGCTACAATATCCGACATTAAAGGCCTGTCTGCTGGACTTTCTTGAACACATAGCAAACCAATCTGAATGTATCTCATTGGAGCACAAGTTGAGAAGGGGAATTCTATTACATGATCAACGAGCTCAAGCCCACGTTCGTTTTCCCACAAATTCCAAGCCTAAAATAAAAACCATAAACTTTGCTTTTTTTCTTCATATAAAAATCGATAATTTATTGGAATTAGCACTTACATATCCAAGAAGACTAAGATAAGCGGAACCGTAAAAACCCGTATTTTTCTGTCCGCTGATAATCTCGAGCATCAATACTCCAAAGGCAAAAACATCAGATTTTACCGAAAAGAGTCCTTCCATTGCATATTCCGGTGACATATAACCACTGAATTTATGTGGGAAAGTAAATAAATAAATCATAACCAACAATTCAAGAAAACGATTTTATGCATGAGAAAGATGCGTTTTCACTTACTAAGTACCGACAATTCGTTTAGTATTTGCTTGCATTTCGTTTCCTCCAAAGATTCTCGCCATTCCGAAATCGGAGATTTTGGGGTTCATTTCGGCATCGAGGAGAATATTACTAGCTTTTAGGTCTCTGTGAACAATTCTTAATCGGGAATAATGGTGCAGATATAGAAGCCCTTGAGCAATGCCTTCAATTATACGAACACGTCTTTTCCAATCCAATACCTCTTTCTTGCTCGGCTCTACATTTTCACATGCCCGGAAAATTATAAACGACGATTTCTTGCAAATGATAATAACATATAAAAAGTAAAAAAACAAAATCGGAATGTTTACGAACTGGCCCACACCGAAGAGAAAAAAATCCAAGCTTTTGTTGGGCATGTATTCGTACACTAATATCTTCTCATCGTCTTCGACACAGCATCCTAAGATTCCGACAAGATTTCTGTGCTGGAGTTTGGCAATCAGTTCTGTCTCGTTTCTGAACTCTTCAAGCCCTTGTCCAGATTTTCTTGAAAGCCTTTTCACCGCTACAAACTGTCCGTTAAGTAACTGACCCTGAAAAATAGTGACGAAAATAAAAATGACAAACCCTCTGTAGTACGCGATAACGAAAATCACGTGTTCATGCAGAAGAACCACAGTACCTTGTAAACAGGTCCAAAGCCACCCTCTCCGAGCTTGTCCGTGACGGAAAAATCGTTAGTTGCAGCGGATATGCTAGAGAAACTGAAGATTGGCAATTCGTTGTAGCTATTTTTCTCATCTCCCCGACTGTTATTCAGATCGAGTAGTAATAGATTTTGATACGCTCCTCCGTACCCTGAGCAGATAACGAAAAGAAGATTACGAAACCGTACAAAATGGTTTCACACTTCCACTACACTACAACCGAGGAATATCCTACCTTTTGTTTTGAGCTTTCGACGTCGTAGGTAACATAAGCAAAAACAGGATACGAGTACTGCAGCAGGAATAGCTACAGCTAGAATCAGAGGAAGTACATTTCTCTTTCCTGACAAAAATAAGGTTCATTTAAGTATACGACGCAATAATCGTATGTCATCCAAAGTCTCTCGTTACACATTGTTACCTTCTATTACAGCAGCAAGCGCAGTTGAATCCATTCTGACATAAAGATCCCCGCCAGAGGAGCCGTTTGCTAGTTTCACCAAATCCACCATGTCTCCTATAAATAACAAACACCCTCCTCCATTACCGTAGGCATAAGCATTGCACAAGCAATTGGATGCGCACACAAGCTCGCACACACCGGATCTTACGATTTCCAGGGATTCAGGGTTTGCAGCCAATCTAATGCCGCTATACCTGCGAAAACCTGTTTTTCCCTGATCAGTCGAACACTGGACGGGCCTCGTTCTCACACACCCTTTTGAGAAATTGTCTAGCTCCCAATCTCGCACATCTCGTGGTTCAAACCTATCCAAACAGCCACATACTGGCGATGAGTTGATATTGCATATGGCATTAGGCCCACACATGGCATAAGTTTCGCACGCATCAGAAGGCTGCGACAAGTATATCACCCACACATTGTTCGCCTCCGACCACACAGAGCGTTGCATTATGCCACTATTCCCTAGAACAAGCCTAGACACCACTGATTCGTTGTAAACATTATACGTCACGTACACGGAGTCATCATTTGAGACGTAACTAAAATTGTAAGAATTCACGAGAGTCGAGTGGCCAGAGAGTGAAGCAAAACTCCCTCCTTGCAAAATCCCACTCCTCCACAGTTTCGAGTTATTGCGCGTTATGAAAAGCTCACTGCCTCCGTTCCGTTCCGTCCCTAACGAGAAATCGCCGAAAGAAGGGTCCTCCGGGTTCCTCCAAGAACTACTATTATCACTCGATGGGATCATGGGATTATTCCTAGTAGCCACCCAAACAACTGTTCGAAGAGGTACGTTCTTGTACCATATACCGACGTAGGAGTTAGTAGAATTACCTGGAGAAAAGAATCCCAGTTCAAACTTCCCTTCTTTAGAGATTATGGTCTGGTTTTGAAGCAGAGATTGTCCTGTTGATATAGTGTCTGATCCAACGGAGAGGCAACCAGGAAACCAGATCGACATGAGAAAAACAAACAAGAAACATGTAGCCATGAATATGTATCAAGGAAAACCAACAATTTGTTGCAGGATAAGATAACCAAATACAATCACACTGTTCTATGGTATAAAAATAACAAGTTTTGTCTTTTCTGCGAAAAAAGTCAATTGCGTGCTACGACTTTGGACCAATAATCAAATATGATCATTTAATTAGAGGAGAAGACTGGAAATTGGGTCTTCGTTGAAGTTTCAGCTCCAATCATTCTTCTCTCTTTAAATTAAAAATAAAAAAAAATAAAAAAAAAAAATACAGAAAGAGACCTTTTCCTGCCCCAACAACCCCAAACCCCTCATCAATGATCAATACCAGTACTAGCGCCGCCCGCGTCGGACACCACACCAAATCGGCATCGCCGCCGCCCGGTACCACCGGAAACCTCCGACCTCCTCCAAAAACATCTGCCCCATGCATATATGAGGGGTCCACTCTCCGATCACATCGTGTAATCTTTCAGGTGGTCCCAATTGTCTAGAAGATAAGCATACGGCGTCCGTTTTGTAAAGTTGGACTTGGGTCTTAGACTTGCGCCAGAAGCAGGTAGGTCGTATTTTATAAATGAGATTGGCGCGATTCGGATATGCAAATTAGATGATGGACACGTGTCAGGAGATTAGTTCATGAAGAACAGTAATTAAATTAAAAGTGTAGGGGTTAAAATCAAATTAAATGAAGTAAAATGGGGGTAAAAATGACAGAAACAGTGAAAGTGCGGGGCCTTTCAAAGGAAGAAAAAAGGATTTGTGCTTTACAATATTCAATCATAATTTTTGAATCAAGAAAATTTTCATTTTATTTGTATTTTCTAAGGGTTTTTATTATAAATAATCTTATTATTATTATACTTATATTATTTGATAGGATATATAAATTATTGAGTTATAATCATGTTCAACTATCTTTTTATATTTGTTTTGAGTATTTACAAATAATATCTAGAAATATTACATTAAAATTTAAAACCGACTTATTTCTAATTTATCATCGAATAATCATCGCCTCGCCTATTTTGCCAACAAATTTGAAGTGATTTCATGTATTCGTTGGTGGTGTGATATACTATTAAACATTCTGATGACATTGAAATATGCCTTTGCATCGGCCTTCCTCCGAGTTTGCTCAACGAGCCTAAGTCGAAGGGGCTCAAGAGTAGAGGATTCTAGAAGATTTTCTAGAGTACTTCCATTAGTGTAGTTGTATATATTTGGTAGGAGATCATAGAAGCTAATCGTAGCCTTTAGATCAAGATAATCACCATCATCCATTGATGAAGTAGAGTTGTATAAATATGGGTATGGTCCGTACCCTGAGCAGATAACGAAAAGAAGATTACGAAACCTTACAAAATGGGTTTCACACTTCCACTACACTGCAACCGACGAATATGCTACTTTTGTTTTAAGCTTTTGCCGTCGTATGTAACATAAGCAGAAATTGTAGAACGTCCGGCACCCCCAAACTCCGCCCTCCTTCAAAAACATCTGCCCCACGCATAAGAGGGTTCCACTCTTCGATCAGGTCGTGCAATTAGTCTGCCCTAATTCAGTTCCGACGTGATTTGGGATTTTTTTGTACTTCCATGTTTAAATAGAGAAGCTAAAAGTAATTAATAAAAAAAATAGAAGATAAGCGACAAATACGGCGCCGTTTTATTATATTAACCGAAAATCAGACTTGGTCAATTATAAAACTAAAAAAATACCCGTTAGTTAAAACACAAACCCCAAGAATCCAAAACCCCACCATACCTGCCTTCTTCTTCCTCTTGCCCTCTTCTTCTTCTTCCATATTAATGGAGTCGTCGTCGTCGGGCACATTTTCCGGCGGTCGAATGAATTTTGGTTACTAGTTTGGATTTAATAATGAAATTTACGATGACAAGACTATTCTTCTTGTCATTGAAGAAAATGCGGCGACGCAAGAAAACTTGACGGCCTCTAACCACGAACTCGAGCGGCGACGCCGGGGATCGATGAAGAAAACTTGACGGTGGCTGAGCGCGAACTCGAGCACGAACTCGAGCGGCGACGCAGTGCGGGGATCGATGAAGAAAACTTGACGGTGGCTGAACGCGAACTCGAGCAGCGACGCAGCGCGGGGCTCGATGAAGAAAACTTGATGGTGGCTGAGCGCGAACTCGAGCAGCGACGCAGCGCGGGGATCTTATATATATATATATATATATATATATATATATATATATATATATATATATATATATATATATATATATATATATATATATATATATATATATA